ATAAAAGCCTCTTCTGAAGAAAGTGTCCTTTGGATCTTTGGATTTCTCTTTCTATGAGAACTTGGAAGTTGAGCAAGGATTCTGGGTTTCTTCATGGAATTCTAGCCATGCAATTTGTTCCAATGCAAGGGCATCCATCTGCGGAGATTACTAGGTCCATCTGCCAGTTTATTGTAGTCATGTTCTGGGGGATATTGGGAATGACAGTGGGACTCTTGGTCACAAGAGTTGGAAGCTGCTATTGAGGGCTCTGGAGGAAAGGTTGCACCTCCAGTAAAATTTGATAAACAAAGGGTATATCTAACACTGCATGTATTGACAGCAGTGAGGATTGTATTTGCTCAGCACTGGAAGAAGGAAGAAACACCATCAGATGAAGAGATAATTAAGAAGATATTGGACTGTGCTGAAATGGACAGACTCATACTGAGGATTAAAGAAAAAGAAGATAGAGAATATTTTCAAAGTAGGAATTTATTTTATTAATGGCTGGAAAAACAGTGTAGACTAGGAATATAATTTGTATTACTGAACAAAACAAAAAGTAACCCAGATAACATGATGTTTATCAAACACTAATGAAATGTAACAATAGAAAACTAATTTAAAAAGGCAGCAAGTGAACAAGAGCCCGTGCAACACAGGAGATTTTACATCCTGACCACTGCAATGTTATAACACATGTTTGCATCATTCTGGTTCTGACTCAACTTCAGGACATTATTAGCCTACCTTACTCTCTTGATAGGACAGTGGGAAATGAAAATGGCAAGGTCCATGTCCTCTTCTCTTGCTTCCCCCATGCCAAGAAGACATATCTCTGCCCAGAAAATAATCATCATCTTCTTCATCATCATCATCATCATCATCATCATCATCATCATCATCAAGTTGGAAGGGACTTTGGAGGTCATCAAGTCCAACCCCTGCTCAGACAGGTAACCCTATACCATTTCAGACAAATGGCTGTCCAGTTTCTTCTTAAAAACTTCCAGTGTTGGAGCTTCACAGCTTCTGGAGGCAGGTTATTCCATTGGTTAATTGTTCTAACTAAGTTTCTAAGTAAGTTAATTGTTCTAAGTAAGTTTCTCCTTAGTTCTAGGTTGCTTCTCTCCTTGATTAGTTTCTAGCCATTGCCTCTTGCCTTGCCCTCAGGCGCTTTGGAAAATAGCTTGACTCCCTGTATCCCCTGAGATACTGGAAGACTGCTATCATGTTCCCCCTCATCCTTCTCTTCGTTAAACTAGACATACCCAATTCCAGCAACCGTTCCTTATATGCTTTAGCCTCCAGTTCCCTAATCATCTCTGCTGCTCTTCTCTGAACTCTTTCTATTGCTCTCCATCCTTTTAGAATCAGATATTAAGATTATTATTTCTAGGAATGGAGGAATGGAATCATCATTCAAACATGAGATTTCTGATCTGTCCTATCATGAGAAAGTCTCAGAGAGCCAGAGGAGACAAGAGGAGGGCAAAATAGCCCCATAAAACTCTTACAGTCCCTCCATTTAAGAGACCTGAAATACTGCAACCACCTTTGGTTACCATAGTACAAAAAGAATGTTGAGACTTTGGGGAAAGTTCAGAGAAGAGCAACTAAGATGATCAAAGGCCTGGAGATTAAAATGTATGAAGAACGGCTGCAGGTCTTGGGTTTGGATAGTCTAAAGAAAAGAAGAAATAGGGCAGCCATGATAGCAGTATTCCAGTATTTGAGGGGCTGCAACCAAGAAGAGGGGGTCACGTTATTCACCAAAGCACCAGAGGACAGGACAAGAAACAATGGTTGGAAACTGATCAAAGAGAGAAGCAACCTAGAACTAAGGAGAAATTTCTTGACAGTGAGAACAATTGATCAATGGAATGACTTGCCTTCAGAAATTGTGGGTGCTCCGTCACTGGAGGTTTTTAAGAAGAGACGGGACAGTCACTTATCTGAAATGGTATAGGTTCTCTAGGCTGGATTGGAAGACCTCCCAGGTCCCTTCCAGCTCTATTCTATTCTATTCTATTCTATTCTATTCTATTCTATTCTATTCTATTCTATTCTATTCTATTCTGTTCTATCGTTAGTGGAATCTAGTTGTGGTTATACTGCCCTCTTGTGGAGAGAAGCAAGGGGTAGGTTAAAAAACAACAACCCACATTCATCAAAATTAGCTTGTAATTCCCAACATTTCCTAACAGGATGAGTCTTGGGAAGAATTGTGTGCCTGTAAGTGTCAGAAGAATAATCTTGGATGGCAACTCAAGCCGGGGTTTCACAAGAATAAATAAAAATGAGAACCAGAAAGCTGTGAGGAAAGAAGAAATATGTATTCCTAAAAGCAAACATTTTGCCTTTAGGGGCAGGCTGCAGAGAAATGGGGTACAATGGCAAACTTTTATAGGTGGACCATATCTGGGGTGTGGAAGTTTCTATGTACTGATCCTATGATGACACTTAATGTGTGTGTGTGTGTGTGTGTGTGTGTGTGTGTGTGTGTGTTTGTGTGTGTTAGTGGAATCGGGTTGTGTGTGCATGTGTGTGTATGCTTCTGAACATACAGTTCTGTTATGAGACCTAATTTAATTAATTCTATTTGTGTTTACAGACCTTATCCTTTGGTATATGGATTAGGTCTGGGTAACTTGAAGTTTGGGTAAAGGAGTTTTCCCACCGTTTGCTATTTTTACTTGATGAATTTAATTTCAGCTTGACTGTCAATTATCTAGTGGAGACGCTGATTCTCTGATCATGTGGATTCTGTTAATGTTTTAAGGGAAGATGGTGTCAGAAGTAAGTCTTCATCCTGGTTCATCCAAGCCGGGGATAAATAAACAACATGGCGACTGCTTTGGGAAGAAGGTTACAGTTTATTGAAGAAGCAGAAAGATGGTCCTTGCAAGAAAAAGCAGAGGAGAGGAAAGAGGAGTTGACCACGTGAGCAGTAGGTTTTTATACCCCCTCTAGCCTTTTGTTTGGAATAGTTTCCTGTTCCTGTGGCATGAACCTTGAGGCTATTTCTGAGTGTTTTTCTAGGCCTTGATATCTGTGGTTTAATCCTATTATCATATCCTGCTTCCCAGGTGATGGGGCTAATGACTCCTAGAGTTGGGGTGGGGCATGCAGATTTTCTCTTTGTCTTCTTGAGTGCTCTGGCTTCAACTTTCTGATGGTTTTACATCTGCATTTGTATGGGGCTAGCTCTTGCTTGGGGCAGAGAGATAGATTTGGGGCCAGGTTTGGTTTTAAAAAAATCCTTTTGAGGAAAAATATATTTTTCTGCCCTTTTAATATTTCCTTCTCTGGGCTAACTTCCCTCAATGGAAACAGTACAAAGGATATTATATACTTTTATATAAAACTTCTCACATAAGGTTCATCCTCACATCCAGACGAACACCACAGGAACATGCCCTAAAAAGTATTGCATGTCATGCCCTCCTGCTATTGTCATTTCATCCCCAACTCATAGCAGATACTTTTAAATTCAGGTTTAGCTATTGCAGTTTTAAAGGAGTGCTTTTGGTCTGTTTCCTGGAACATTTTGGTCATTCATTGCCAATGGAATTGATGATGTGATCCTGGGTGGGCGATATCCAGTTTTGGGGGGCTACTTTAGGCTTTTGTATGCTTTCTCCTTCTTCCTATTATCTGCAAGGACTTTTTGGCTGGTGCGACGGGAGAGAGAGAGCAGACTTCTGCTCTCTATAACTTCCAAAGTGCTTGTCATGTTTTCTTGAAGTTCTTTTGGAAGGAGCACTAGACCCGATAAAAAATAAATAAATTCAGCAATAAAAAGAATATGCATAGCTCCCAGTTGAACATTAACCCGGGATGCTTTGGAGCTTATCAGTTGATTGATCTGATTATTGTAAACGACAGGTGTGGAGGTTTATTGGGAGTTGTTTGGGGTTTTGATTTCTCTAAGCTGCCTGGAGACACCTTGATTGACATGTCCATTTTCTTAAATAAATGAAAATAAATAACTTTTGTGGATTTGCACCACTGAATTTGCGCAAAGCCATCTGAATGGCTATCCGCAGTCTACTTTGGGGGGCTGCCCACCACAAGGACAGATGTGAACTCAGTGCCAGGACAGTTATTCCCTCAGGGGGCTGGTCTAGAAGACCTCCAAGGTCCATTCTATTCTATTCTATTCTATTCTATTCTGTTCTGTTCTGTTCTGTTCTGTTCTGTTCTATTCTATCCTTTCTTCTACTTCACAAGATGCCTCCAGTTGCGGCAGACTATAGTCAATCACTACTATCATTGTCAGATGCTCTCAGCACCAGATGATGATAAACTGTGGGGTTGTTGGTCTTTCTTTATGTCCCTCCTTCCCTGGCTAAATTCTTTCTAGGTCCAGGTTTCACACACTTCCACAATAGCACAGACCCTGGTCTTAACTGCCCCAGGCATTAAAGTCAGGAGTTTGCTTGTTGGACAAATATGTTAAACAGGTTGATGGGCATTCAAACAATTCATCCAAGCACTGACCTACATTCATACAAGCACACCCTGCCTCATTAGGATGAAGTGTCTGGGCACATGTATGTTTGGGAACTCTGTGTTATTGGGTATTTTGAATTTTGTATGTCATCTTTAGTTATTTACGCACCTTAAATTGAAATGAGGAGGAGGAGGTGGTGGTGGTGGTAGAGGAAGAAGAGGAGAAGAAGAAGAAAGAGGAAGGAGGAGGAGGAGGAGGAGGAGGAGGAGGAGGAGGAGGAGGAGGAGAAGGAGAAGAAGAAGAAGAAGAAGAAGAAGAAGAAGAAGAAGAAGAAGAAGAAGAAGAAGAAGAAGAAGAAGAAGAAGAAGAAGAAGGAAGAAGAAGAAGAAGAAGAAGAAGAAGAAGAAGAAGAAGAAGAAGAAGAAGAAGAAGAAGAAGAAGAAGAAGAAGAAGAAGAAGAAGAAGAAGAAGAAGAAGAAGAAGAAGAAGAAGAAGAAGAAGAAGAAGAAGAAGAACAACAACAACAACAACAACAACAACAACAACAACAACAACCCTCTCAGGAAATCCTCTAATTAAACATCTTCAAAGAAGGCAAAACAATTATCTTATGGAGAAAGAAGACATGACAGTTTTCTTGCAAAATGTTCTTGCTATCTTTAGAATCTTCCATTTTCTTCCAGACCTAAAATAGTCCATTTCTCTGCCACCCAAAATGGGGTGGTCTGATTTACGCATTCCAATGGAGCCACAAATATTTCCAAGTTTTGGAGTGTCAGATTATCTGGACCTGATTTTTTTTCTATGCAATTCTGCCACGCCCAAACTTTGGTTCATTGCCTTCAATAAATGACAGTACTTCCCACTCTCTGTAGGATAATCCCATGTTTTGGTTTGGCAAAACCAAACCTTTATCCACAAGGATCCCCCGATGTCCTTGAGCCTTGCCAGTGGTGGGAATGTTCACCTGGTATATTCCTTCTTTCTTGCAAAACTCTGGAATACTTTGATTCACTTTCTAGTTGATAACAATGCATGCTGTGTCCACATGTGGCTTGTTTTGGGTCATCTGGTCCAATTCTGCATTCCAGTTCCACAGCTGAGATTCATTTTCCCTGCACAGAATTGCTCAGCCTTAGAGGGTTTTTGTACAGACAGCAGGTGTCTCTATATTGCTGTGATCTTGGGCCCCACAGAAATAGACAGCAGCATCTTTCATCTGCACCTTTGTGATGTTTAACTGACTCTCCTTCTTTTGCTTGTCAAAAGAGGCAATGAAATGTTCCTTCTTTTCCAATTCCACCAATGTAACTGTTAGGAGAAATACAGGTACTTTTTCTGGATATTGCCTATACCAATGCATTCCATAGACATTGGTGGAGGTGAACTGACAGGTGAGGGTGGAGTCATCTCCTTCTTTGATAACTTCTACAGGCTCCTGATCCACTCGGTCCTGGCATTGGACACCTGGAAGAGAAAAAACATGAGGATTATTCAGATTCCATGCAATGTTTGGATCTTTCCCCCTGTCTTGGGCATTCTGCTGCAATTTGCAGATGACTTACAAGGAGGCCAAAAAGAGGGTGAATATGTATCACCTGAAAAATAAGCATGTCTTTGGTTGTCTGTGGAGATTCTCAGTCATCCAGGTCATGGCTGTCCCAAAGGTACTTTTTCAAGAGGCAACTGGACTTCCTTGTTTTTCTTTGAAGACATTTTGCTTCAGAGTGGAAGAAGCTTCTTGGATGAGAAGTGAAACATCTTCAAAGAAAAAGAAGAAAGTTCAGTTGCCTCTTGAAAGAGCACCTTTGGGACATGTCTTTAGTTGTGATGCTTCAGCATATAAGGTCCTTCTGACTGTTCTTCAGAGGACCAATAGGGAGCTACACATCTTCTCCTTGGTTGCCCTCCACCTTTGGTGACAACCAGCGGGTGTCTTTCTAGCACTGTGCTCCATGCACAGAAATAGACAGCTGAATCCTTAAATTGGGTATTCTTCAGATACAAAGAGGTGGTCTTGTTATCTGTGTCCAGAGTCATTTCAAAATGATCCTTTGCTTCAGTCCCTGATATAGTCAGTAATATCATGAATTCTGGTTGGCCTCCTGGATATTGCTTGTACCACTGAAGACTGTATTCTGTTTCCTGATAGGAGCATTTCAAACGGATGGAGTCTCCTTCCTTAACTGAAAGAAATTGGTGCTCCTGCGTGATTCTCGCTTGATCTGATACAGCTATAACAGAAGATGCATGTTAAAAAAGGAGATGGATGATTACAACTGCTAGGTTGTTAGTAGGGCAATGTTGGAAGAAGGAATCTTTGCCTACTTTGCAAGAATGGTTTCTTAAAGTTTCCTACTTAGCGGAAATGGCAAAGATTTCGGCTTTCTTGAAAGATCAATCGCAAGAGAAGTACCTCTTTGTATGGAAAAGATGGATAAATTTTATACAATATAAATATGATATAAAAATATTATTTAGTTTTTGAATAATTTATATTTAAAGTTTAAGATTTTTTTTTCATTTTTTTCTCCTTTTTCTTGTTTCTTTTCTTTTTCTCTTTCTGCTTTCTAAATATGGGTGTTAAAGTATTTTATAATTTGTTTAATTATTGTAATCAAATTTGTATATGGTTTATTTGTGTTTAAAACTTTTTCTTTTAAATTTTAATTAAGCCTGTATTCAGCTCTGGGAAGGTTGGGGGAGGGTTGGGGTGGGTTGGGAGGGTTTGGGGAAGGGAACTTTTTTGTAAAATTTTAAAAATTTTCAATATATATATATAAAAAAAGGAGATGGATGGATGGATGAAAGAAGGAAGGGAGGGAGGGAGGGAGGGAGGGAGGGAGGAAGGAAGGAAGGAAGAAAGGGAGGGAGGGAGAGAGGGAGGGAGGATAATAGGGAGGGATGAAGCAAAAAGAATTCCACCAATAAATTTAGTTAGTTAAACCTTTAGAATTTGCAAAGGAGCCATTATCATTCAAAGTTTGCAATCCTATCTTCCACACTCTTAAGTGCTTAAATAAATCAATTTTCTGCTTGATGCTTTTGCTCGTTTCCTTGTTATGGCTTTTGAAAAAAATCATCTCCAAAGCTGAAGTTTTGAGGAGAGCTTGCTTCAATAAAAGTTAGTATAAACATTATTTCCATCAACGAATGAAAAAAAAAAATAAGATGAAAAGGATACCTGTGGAGATGGCCAGCAGCAAGGCAATGATCCTGCTCCTCAGATCTCCCATTCTTCTTTCTCTGCAGCAAGCAGGACAACTCTGTCACCAGAAACACAGGAAAGTGACAGCCCAGCCACAGTCTTGTGGGTGGCTTCATGCTCAAGCTTTCTGGGGATATGAGATCTGCTCAGCTCTGCTTTGACTCACGTACATCAAAGGAGGAACATACCACAAACCCAGGGCATAAAAACATTGTCTTAACTCATGTTCTTGTACAAACAAATCAGGTCTTCTCGTTTGAAAAATTCATGACATGGGTGCATTTCTGCTCTGCATGAGAATCGTGATAATCTTATTTATTTATTTATTTATTTATTTATTTATGAGACTTATATACCGCTTTAAGTGCAAACACTCTCTAAGCAGTGTACACCAGTAAGCAATGTATATATATATATATATATTTACATTGCCCCCAACAATCTGGGTCCTCATTTTACCTACCCCAGAAGGATGGAAGGCTGAGACAACCTTGAGCCGGTGAGATTTGAACCGCTGACCTGCTGAACACAGTCAGCTAAAGTGGCCTGCAGTACTGCACTCTAACTGCTGCGCCACCTCGGATCATTAAATAAGGAGAGCAGAAACCTCCCAGTGATGCATCTCTCAATGGGAATCTCTCCAGAGGGTTTCCTCTCAGCCTTACTGATCTTTCCTGAGGAAAGAGTCTTCTGAAGAAAGCGTCCTCTGGATCTTTGGATTTTGTTGGAATATTCATGAACAGGAAGAGTCATGTGGTGACTCAGTCAGCCAATGAGAAGAAAGTGCTACTGAGTCTGTGCAAAAAGAGTATTGAGTTAGGAGCTGGATTTCCAGTCTCAAGGTTTGTCTCTGGTCTGTCTCTGTAAGAAGTCTTCATTAAGCTATGTTGCTGTAAAGAAGAATGGTATTGTAAATATTTTTATATAAATATAAAGTTATTTTGAATCAACTAAATGCAGTCAACTGTGAGAGCTTCTGATTTATTTTTCACCAACAGAGAAATTAAAAATCTCTAACGGATTTCTCTTTCTATGAGAACTTGGAAGTTGAGCAAGGATTCTGGGTTTCTTCATGGAATTCTAGCCATGCAATTTGTTCCAATGCAAGGGCATCCATCTGTGGAGATTACTAGGTCCATCTGCCAGGTTATTTAGTCATGTTCTGGGGGATATTGGGAATGACAGTGGGACTCTTGGTCACAAGAGTTGGAAGCTGCTATTCGGGGCTCTGGAGGAAAGGTCGTACCTCCAGTAAAATTTGATAAACAAAGGGTATATCTAACACTGCATGTATTGACAGCAGTGAGGATTGTATTTGCTCAGCACTGGAAGAAGGAAGAAACACCATCAGATGAAGAGATAATCAAGAAGATATTGAACTGTGCTGAAATGGACAGACTCACACTGAGGATTAAAGAAAAAGAAGACAGAGAATATTTTCAAACGAGGAATTTATTTTATCAATGGCTGGAAAAACAGCCATTGAGACTAGGAATATAATTTGTATTACTGAACAAAACAAAAAGTAACCCAGATAACATGATGTTTATCAAACACTAATGAAATGTAACAATAGAAAACTAATTTTAAAAGGCAGCAAGTGAACAAGAGCCCCTGCAACACAGGAGATTTTACATCCTGCATCTAACCACTCCAGTGATGGAGCACCCCTGGTTTCTGAAGGCATGTTGTTCCACTGGTTGATTGTCCTCACTTCAGGAACTTTCTCCTTAATTCCAGGGTGCCTCTCTCTTTGATCAGTCAAATGTCCGATCAAATGTCTGAGAACAAAGCCAATTGGTTTCTTTTTTTTATTTAAAAAGTTTTATTGAAAGTTACAAAATAAACCCATCTACCCTCCCCCCAACCCCCACCCCCCGACTTCCCGGAGCCAAATACAGGGTATTTCAAACATATTAAACATAATCTAATTAAGTTAACAAATATATTAATCATAAGCTAAACAAGTTTAACAATTTATACAACAATAAAATCATACTTAAACCTTAACTCCCTTTAAACCAGTGTTTCTCAACCTTGACAATTTTAAGGCATGTGGACTTCAACTCCCAGAATTCCACAGCCAGCAGTGCTGGCTGTGGAATTCTGGGAGTTGAAGTCCACATGCCTTAAAATTGTCAAGGTTGAGAAACACTGCTTTAAACCTTAGTAACATATTATAAACAAATCATTTTATAATCAATTGTTGTATAAAAAAATTAAATTTAAATATTATTAATAATACTTATTATTTAATCATAAAATAAGTGGAACTTTTGAGTTCCATATTTAATCTTAATATAATCTATCCATCTTCTCCATACCATAATATATCTTTCTTGTGTATGATCCTTTAAATAAGCAGAAATTTTAGCCATTTCTGCTAAGTTAGAAACCTTAAATGTCCATTCTTCTAACGTAGGCAACGAATCCTTCTTCCAATATTGACCTATCAATAACCTTGCTGCTATAATTAAATTCAACATTAAAACAGTATCAAAGCCAATTGGTTTCTTAACTTTGCCAAGAGAACTGGATCCTGCTTACCCTTCAACACCCGAGGTCAAGCTCAACTTCATGACATGATTAGCCTACCTAACTCAATTGATGGCACCGTGGGAAAGGAAAATTGCAAGATCCATCTCTTCTTCCCTTGCTTCCCACTTTGCCAAGAAGACATATCTCTGCCTGGAAGATATTGCTCTCCATCCTTTTGGCACGAGATGTTGGGATTGTTATTTCTAGGAATAGAGGAATGGAATCAACACACAAACATTTCTTGAGATTTCTGATCAGGAGGAAGTCTCAGAGAGACCAAACAGTCAAGAGGAGGGCAACAGTGCCCCATTGAAACTCTTATGCTTTGCTAGAGTTAGGTTCCCTGTGGATGGGTTCCAGCATAAATCCAAAAGCTCAGAAGACAAAACCTCTGGCCCCAGTGACTGACCCAGATTGGATCCCTTTACAGCAGTGGTTCTCAACCTTTTTAATGCCGCGACCCCCAACCGGTCGTAAGTCGAGGACTACTCAACTGGTGCAGCACCGTTTGCACAATGGGACTTTTGGCAGGCTCAGCAGGGCAGAGACAGCCTGGACAATTCCTATTGGCTTTTGAAAGCTAATAGAATTAAACTCTATTCAAGAGAGTCTATTCTATTGTCTTTCAAAAGCCAATAGAATAAAAGGGAGTAGCACAGCTAAGGAAAAGGGGGGGAAAAATGGCGGACTGCGTTGTTTGGCGACCCTCGTGAAATGGTCGTTCGACCCCAAATGCGGTCCCAACCCACAGGTTGAGAACCACTGCTTTACAGTGTCCCCAGTTGAGAAATCTTTGCTAGAATCCAGCTGTGGTTCTACTGCCCTCTTGTGGAGAGAAAGGAAACAATGTTTAAGGTGAAAAAAAAACCCACATTCAGCAAAATTGGCCTGTAATCTCCAACTTTTCCTACCAGGATGAGTTTTGGGAAGAATCGTGTGACTGTAAGGTTCATCCTCACATCCACATGAAGACCACAGGGACATGCCCTGAAGACCACATTTTATGTCATGTCCTCATACCATTGTCATCTCATCCCTAATCCACAGCAGATATATTTTAAAGACAACTTTAACCATAGTAGTTTCTGTCCTCTTTCTGCAATATTTTGGTCATTCATTGCCAATGGGATTGATGATGGGTGGATGAATCCAAGTCTTTTGGGCCAGTTTAGACTTTTGCATGCATTTCCCTTCTATCTATTAACTGCAAGATTTTTTGGCTGCTGCGACAGGAGAGAGCAGACACTGTATAACCTCTGCCTCTATAACTTCCAAAGTGCTTGTCATGTTTTATAGAGATTCCTTTGGAAGGAGAACTAGACCTCATAATAGATAAATAAATCCAGGTTTAGTGTTAACAACAGCAAGGATATGTATACCTCAGAGTTGAATATTAACCTGGGATGGGGTTAATATTGGTTGATTTGATTATTGTAACTACAAGTCTGGGAGTTGTTCGGGGTTTTTTTTTTTCTAAGATGCCTGGAGTCACCTTGAATTATTTGGGCACTGGTCATATCCATTTTCTTAAATAAATAAATACATTTGGAGGTTTTCTCCACTGAATTTGCACTTGTGATGGCATGAAGCCATCTGAGTGACTATCCACAGCCTACTTTGGGGGACAGCCCTCCACAAGGACAGATGTGAACTCACTGCCTGGACAGTCGTTCCCTCCCTTTGGGGACAAGGTGGGTGGGATCATTTTGTCTGCTCCTACATCATTTGTCCTACTTCACAAGATGTCTCCAAATGCTACAGACCATACCCAATCACTGCTATCATTCTCCATCTCTCTCAGAACTAGTTGGCAATGAACCTGTAACCATTTGCTTGGGGTTCTGGGTCCTTCAGCGTTTCCCCCTTGCCGGGATGAATTCTGTCTGGATCCAGATTTCACATGCTTTCAGAGTAGACCCTGTTCTGAAGTATGCCAGGCATTAGTTAAAGTAACATTCAAGAGTTTGCTTGCTTGTTTGCTGGACAAATATGTTGAACAGGTTGATGGGCATTGAAGCAATTCATTCCAAGCGCCTATCTAAACTCATACAATCTACCTCATTCAGGTGAAGTGTCTGGCCACATTGGATACATGTGCAAATTTGGGACCTCTATGTTATGGGATATTTCAAATTTTGTATATCATCTTTAGTTATTTAAAGGACTTTTAAATTTAGGAGGAGGAGGAGGGAGGAGGAGGAGGAGGAGGAGGGGAAGAAGAAGAAGAAGAAGAAGAAGAAGAAGAAGAAGAAGAAGAAGAAGAAGAAGAAGAAGAAGAGGAGGAGGAGGAGGAGGAGGAGGAGGAGAAGAAGCAGAAGAAGAAGCAGAAGAAGAAGCAGAAGAAGAAGAAGAAGAAGAAGAAGAAGAAGAAGAAGAAGAAGAAGAAGAAGAAGAAGAAGAAGAAGAAGAAGAAGAAGAAGAAGAAGAAGAAGAAGAAGAAGAAGAAGAAGAAGAAGAAGAAGAAGAAGAAGAAGAAGAGGAAGAAGAAGAAGAAGAAGAAGAAGAAGAAGAAGAAGAAGAAGAAGAAGAAGAAGAAGAAGAAGAAGAAGAAGAAGAAGAAGAAGAAGAAGAAGAAGAAGAAGAAGAAGAAGAAGAAGAAGAAGAAGA